GCATACTGGTAATAATCGCCAGCATCAGGAATAGAGTCCGTGTAGGTGGCTCTGTTCTCATCGCCGAAGGCATAGAGTTCCCTGGCATGCTGAAGGAGGGTGTTCGCATATCCATCGTCGTGTCCCCTGAATACCATGGAACTGGCAGCCATGGCTGCCGCTGTTTCCGCCGCCAATTCCGTTCCTACGTTCAAGCATGGACACAATGCGACTCGTATCAGCAAGCAAAATTGCTTCCGGGACATCTGCAGAGTCAGAAATAAATGTCACCTGGAGAATTTTCATCGATGAAGTACGAGGGTCTCTCTTTCTCGTCGTAGGGCCAATCCTCGGGTCGACCCCAATACGAATGATCGACTCCTCCGTTCCCAACTTGACCGAAGAACTTCTTCGCCGATGGATGAGCCTGAGTCACGATCCCGACTTAGTCGGACCAACGACTCCCGATTTCGAACTTCCCCGTTTGAAATGCTCGAAGATAGCCTACCTTGATGAAGTAATCGGTGGCCCATCGAAGTTGCGCTCTACCTGCCTCTGCCAAACCGGCATTTTCATATGCATTTGCGTATTCGACCATTCCCCAAGCCAGGACGGTGGTCGTGTATGCCATCGGGAAGCCGAATTTCACGTAGTCTCCAGCTGTATTCACGTCATTCATTTCACTCGATCACTTCCTATGTGACGTCGAAACCATTATATAATACGAGAGACTTCATAGTTACCATCGAAGTATCCACCGTCCAAGTCGAAACCGTTGTCGTCTCCATCAGTGAGGAAAGAACTCTTTCTCCAAGGTATATGATTGTCTGGCAACTGTCCTGCTCTTTGGGCTTCGAAGAACTTGTAGCTGAGTCGTATGACGGAAGCATAGTCGTAGTCTCCTTGACCGTGACTCACCCCTAAAAGTGCCACCAAATACAGGAGCAACTAAAGGAAAGAAAGACAGATACACCGCTTTGGACCGATCAGGACAAGTACAATACTTCCATCATCGGCTAACACAATCGTTCGATGGTCGAATTATTGAACCCACCATGTCAGATCAAGTTTCAGACGAGCTCGACCGCACGATTACCGTTAATGTTATATTTTCTTTTATTTTCGCACCCCTCACCCCACGTAGATCAGGCTCAAGTGTTTCTATTCCCATCATGGGAAAGTTGTCACATCCGGGCCTGGAGTTGTTTCGTAACGTTGCGAATGTACTAAATTCGAACCGAAGCGGCCCAGATGTTAGCTACGGTGTCTATAAATAACAGCCGCGGTCAGCAACAGTTACTGGATATCTTGCATGTTATTATTTTGCTCTTCATGGTTTTAATAATATTTGACAAGGCCTTATTTTTTATGTAAAGAAAAATTGCGATTTTAGTCAAATATTACTCCAGAAAATATTTCGAGGGACAAGCCTCTTGGACATCCATTCAGTATGAATACAGTAAGCTCCGGTCCTTTATTTCTTAAAATGAATCACTGGGGAGGTCCACGTTGCTATTTTGAGGAGCTAATTTTTTAAAGACTATTTTGAGCAAAGGTTTTTCCCTCCTATGAGACGTACTTACCATATCACATGCTGAAAAATGATATACGGCTACTAGAGTCCTGCACTGGCTGCGGGCCGTCCCTATCGGCCCAACTGGACCCGACCCACGGGCCGTTTAGGGCCGAAATTTCCTAGATTCTTCTTCGGGTCGGGTCGGATTTTTAAAGTATATTTTTATTTTTATTTTATCGCTCCTCAGGTCTCAGACCATGGAAACTCCGTATCATGACTGAAATCTAATTTATGCATGCAATCCGAGTGAGGAAAAATACTTCGTTGTGCGACCATTAATGTAAATGAAGGAAGAAAGAGTCTCAGTCGGGCATGAGGCAGTTGATGCCACTTGAGGCCGGAATCTGATGGCCCCTTCTCTTCTAAGAAATTTTCTCCTATCAGTCAACAGTCGACAACCTCCTATTTTTGCATAGCAACTTTGAATGATGAGAAAATGCACAGGAAAGCTTTGGTTGAAGTGTTTAATTTTTTGTTCGCGTCGGGTCGGGTCGGGCCGTGAAATTGGGTTGGGATTCGGGTTTCGGGTCGGGTGTGGGCCATTACTTGAATCGGGCCGATAGGGTCGGGTACCGGAAAATCGGCCCGTGTAGGACTCTAAGGGCTACTAATTGTTTTTATGATTGCATTTGGCGCTTAAGGCGGAAGGCCCAGATGATGAACCGCAAGAATGCCTCAAGAAATAGACCAAGCAAATTTTCATATTTTTGGTGACGGATTCATTCCGTCTCAGCTGAAAAAAAAAAGTGAGGAAGTCTTCTCGGTTTCTCTCAGGCAAAAGTGGCCAATCGATCCCAGGCATATTCTCCTAGGTAATTGCTAATAAAAGAGCGCACTATCTTCCGTCGTATTTCAGCTCATCTTTCGCCGTGATATGTTATCCTGCCAATGCATGGTCGGAAGTGAAAAAAAAAACTCGCACTCAAACACTGAGTCAGCACTAAAGTAAAAACAAAATAAACATTTCATTTCCTTCTGCACATTTCCAGACGCATCATCATCATGGACATAGCATTGACATGAACTGTTTCTCCCGGAAACTTGACGTTATCTTCATGGAGCTCAATTTTCACATCATTCATGAATTCTTTCTTACCTGAACTCTTGAATCTAGAGGATCCTAGAAAGCTATGTGACAGAAGACAGAAATGAAAGCCAACACGATTACGAAGAGCGATTTTGGAACCTCAAAGACGCTATAACGCAGAGAGGAAGCCAACGGCAGCTGTTCCAGTGCTGGCACGATATAACATTCTCATCCCTATTCTGGATATGCAATTGTCCCTGAAACTCTTTAGTTTCGATTTTGGTAACAACAATAAACTATAACCGTGGAGACTTGTGTGTGATCAATTATGAGCGTAATTCCTGGAAAGAGAAAGGGACTTGATGAAAAAAGCACGTCATGACAAAAAAAAAAACTTACAAATTGGTATTGGAACAAGAATTCTCCCCCAAAATGAACTAGAAGGCTCTTAAGAGTTTGAAATGTAAAATGTGAACAGTTATGGGAAAATAATTGGTTACGCGCACGGAGGAGCGATTTGCAGGCATTTTTTCAGTCTGGTCATTTGCGTGCATGCGCGTGCATCACTATTCACTCTCATATGGGAGCCACGTCATCATTATGCACACTTTGCCTAATTCTGCAAGTGTCAATAGCAGAAGCTAGCAGTGGCATACGCAGGATTTTATGGAGGTGGAATTTGAGTGCGGGGGGTAGAACAACGATCGTGAGATGCCTGAACTCCCTCCCCCACGCGCGCGCCACTGCACCCTGAGTAAGAATTCTCGTTTTGTCTCCGATACTTTTTCGTTGGAATCTGGAATGAAAAATGAACATTGAGTTTTAAAACTTTGGAATGAGTAGCAACCTCGTGAACACCCTTATAGGGGTATCCTCAAGTGAAATCGTGCCACCTTTTACATTATGTATTTGTGTTCGTGTGGCGCATCGCCAAACAAATGAAATTATGTTATGGAGCCCATATTAAAGGTGGTACGAATTCATTCGTAAATTACTGTACCAAGAAAGCTCTAGGTGTAAAATGGAATTAGATTGGCGTTGGCTCAACTCAGCTGTTTTCTCGCATGACAGGAATAGTCCTACTTGCGCGGGCGCCCAACCGGCAGTGAGTCACAACCACTCGCTCGAGCTAGACCCGCACAGAAGCTTAGGCTAGGCAGTTTTCATTTCTTTCAGATGTTCCTATGCATACGTAGCTAGGCCTAAATCGAGTGTTTTATACAAGAATAGGCTTAGACTGCTATGCATGTAATGTTAGGGTAGGCTTTACAATGTTTTTTTTTAAATATTTTTTTAATACCCAAGTACCTGTTTTTCATTTGACGCAGACATTTGTGCGTGGGTCGTTTCTCATCCATGAGTGTCGAAGTCAAGTGAAAAACACTCAGTTACATTGACAGAACAAATTTTCACCGATTGAAAGTGTGCTGCCATTGTTTAGACTGTTTGAGCCTGCCCTGGTGGAGTCGGGAACTAATATTGATTCAATTTGTGACCCAAGGTTGATCTGAATCCATTCAGAAGCTGCATATGACAGACCTTGTGTTAGTGTGAGACAGTACAGCCTTAATGTGCAGCTTGCAGCTGTGAAAGACAATATATCCTCAAGTCCAGGCCAAGATTTTGCCTTTACTCTTATGGGACAAAGCTCTTCCACCATGTCCAGTCCTGTCATCATTCCTGCTGCAGCACGGCACACTGCCACGGTTAGCCTCTGATAGTTTTTGTTCTCACTCTCATTTCCTTTGTAGTGCACTATTTCTATGGTTCTCTGGCAATAGATGATAGGGCCTAATTCAGGTTGAATATTTCATGTTACATGTACTCATAACCCAAGGATAGAGAATATCAGTTTCTTGTTTATAAGACTGTGTATTAGTCGAATTTGAAATTTCTTTTGGAAGGGGTCTTGAAGGAAGACTACAGCCCCACAACCCATTCTGTGAATTCTGCCCAGATGAATTGTCACCTTCTTGAATTTTCTTCACTTGGCAAGACAAGGCTGGTATACAATCTTGCAGTTTTTTTTGCAGATCATAATCATTTAATTTTTGTGTGAGAATAACTTAACAGCTGGTGGAAACATTGTCATCCTTTGCACTTAGTAATGATGCTCTTTTAATGGAAAAATTGTCCTAGCAAGAATTCAGGAGGAGCAGAGACCTCAAAAATCCCTCAAATACCACCTATCTTTCCAGCATTGGTATTTTTTATGCTATTTAAGAAGCAGGTCTGTTCTCTGGCAATTCATCTTGCATGTATGATACCTTGAGGGAAAGGGTAATTTTATCAGAGGGCCACTCATGTGTCATACCTATATTGGCCTATTTGTTCTAATTCTGATGTTCCTCACTGAATTTTATTCCAGCTTATCTTTCTCCATGGCCTTGGTGATACTGGGTAAGTACCCTTTGAATGTCCCTCCCCATCATTCTACTTAGGTGATAGGTAATATAGGCATGAAATAATGGCATTATTCCATTTCCTAGGCATGGATGGGCATCGGCAATGGCTGCCATCAGACCCCCTTATGTAAAGGTCATCTGTCCCACTGCGTGAGTTTCTGTATTACACAAGGCTTGTCTCTGACTAGGAGACTGACTGCCAATTCCCTTCTAAATTACCTGACTTTTCCTACACTGTTGACCATAAAAGTTGTTCCTCCTTGTTTTCCAGAGAGTCAATGTCAGTGACCTTGAATGCAGGCTTTGTTATGCCTTCATGGTGAGTTTCAGATCATTGTGAAATCACTAAGTGCATTAATAAATATTTTATGATCAACTAAGTGATTTATGACCAACAAACTAAACTAAACACAACTTTTATGATGTGACTCTGGTTGGCAGGTTTGACCTCATATCATTGGACCCAAATGGCCCAGAAGACAGAGCAGGAATAGAAAAAGCAACTAACTTCGTGCATGGGCTAATAGAAGAGGAATTGAAGAATGGGATTGAAGCATCCCGAATTGCTGTTGGTGGATTCTCGCAAGGAGGAGGCCTGGCCATTCATGCTGCTTTACAATATCCCAAGAGTTTGGCTGGGATTATCGGCCTTTCCTGCTGGCTTCCTTTGCACAAAGACTTCCCAAAGGTCACTTCAGGGAATGAGCTATTCAGCTGTGCTGCTCCCCCCTCTCACTGTCTTACTTCAGTTTTCCTTTTCTATATTGCTCCAGCTTGAACATGAAATAATCAAATATGCCTTCTATCTGTTTACAGGAGGCAAAGGGAAATTTGACAACACGCCTATTCCAGGCTCATGGATCAGCAGATCCTGTTGTCCCTTTCCATTGGGGTGCTGAAACATCTGCACTCCTGAAGCAATTCATGGAGAACAGTGAATTCAAAACCTACCCTGGTTTGTCTCACTCATCAGGTGAACAGGTAAAGTATGATTTCTGTTGTTATCAAGGTTTGTGAGGAAAGTTCTTATATCATGTCTCTTCTGCAGGAAATGGAGGATGTCAAAAAATTTCTCCAGGAAGTGCTTCCTGATAACTAATGAAGCAATTTAGGATGGCAAGAAAACCTTCAAGATGAAGCAGCCAATCCCATCAGCATTGAATTTGTATCAAATTTTCAATTGGTGAAATGATATAATACCCCCACATGAATTATTAGAAGAGATCTATTCCATATTCTCAGGAGGTGTTTGGTTGAATGTCTTGAAAAGGTTGGCGTATGGTTTGAACGAAGGAGATTGAAGATTGAGGATTGATATTCTATATCAACCTCCTTTACCTCCCTTCATGCCTTTTCCCAATTCAGGATTTCATGGGAGATTGCTTCTGATGGATTCCAAGAACATCTCTCCTCAAATATGAGAGCTCTCTACATTTTTTTTTATATAGAATAATCTCTGATTCTACAAAAATTCAATAATATAGTGCTATGCTTACCATTTGTTTCAACAGCATTGGTTTGGTGTTCTGACATGAATTAACATCCTTTGATTTTCCATAGCTGCAAATGGGAAAGGAGGGTCTAAAGTACCCCTAGGCAAACAGTCATGCAATCACTCAGACTTGAATGGTAGTAAGTTGAGCTATGTAAGGATATAGCTTTGTAGGCAGACTAGGTTAGTAATTGACCTTGAACATTTTGGGAACCCATCTTTATATCAAAAGACCAGGTATGTGGAAGTTCTTCTGATCCTCCCCTCACCTCAAGATCTTATCATCTCTGAGCCATCTCACTGGAGTCAAGTACCATATTATAATAGCAAAAGGGAAAACAGCTACTTGGACGATTGAATCTTACTGGCTACTCAGGAACTTGAAAATCTTATCAGGTACCCATTGCCTGTTGCTTCCTAGAGCTAAGTGATGATGTTGTAGCCAAAAGCAGAAACATCCTTTACCCCTAGGACCTGATGGTGAGAATAAAGAGAGTGCCAAGTATTGACTTTCATCAGAAATTGCTATTTTCTCCCATGGCTGGTGCCAAGTGTGATTAAATTAATTTACCTTGCATTGGACTGAAAATCATTGCATATTTGCTTGTGACAGGAATAAAGCTGAAGACTTCCTGCTAAAGACTTCAAAAACAAGAAGTTGAGTTTATGGGAATCCTATTTCCTCATATCCTAACACCACCTTATATTGAGAATATATGAAAGCTCTTAGGTTTCAATACCAGGATTCAAGTTTTACCTATGCTTTTGAGGTATGGAAAAATTTTATTAATTCTCTGATTTATGAAGCATGCTATCCCAATGCTGAGCATCATATAAGGTGGTACAAGACTGAAAAATTTTACATCCACTCATAATTACAGCTATAAATTGTAATCACTTCTTTCTTCTTCCTTATGTATGCTACCCTACCTTGGGGCAGAGGGAGAGAGGTAGGAAGAGAAAAACAGGTTCTATACAAGCTGGTCTAAAATAAGGTACAAAATCACTTTCAGCCATCCTGATTCTATAAAGAAGTAGAAGCTAATATCTTGAGAGTATAAAAATTAATGTTTCATAGGTATTATGAAGGGATGAGATGCCTCATCTTAAACACATTAATATTCTCAAGGTTCTCTTCTCTAAAGATTCAGGATGCTCTTCAACTTAACCTTTTTTTTTTACCTCACTTTTAACTTTCAATGGCATTTTACCCTTTCTTTTTTTTTTTTAACAATATAACAGGAATGCCAAATCTGTCATTTGAGAGTAATTGGTCTCTCACCAGAACAGATTTTCCAGAAGGGAAATTAAATTTCATGAATTGGATGTATCACCATCAATGGGAAATAATGCATAGTTTACTTAAGCATTTTTTAACACGTTGACGACCAGCCTATTTTTGCTTGTCTGCTGCGTGGGACCACGCGCATTTTTTTTCTTCAAAAAATGCGTCCTGCCATCAGGACGCATGGTCGCAGAAAACATTTTTTTGCAGAGTTTTTTTTTTATGTTGAATTTTTTGGAATTTTTATCAGTAATTACGAAATCATAATCTTCTGGAACATTCTCAACAGTTCCAGAGGGTATTCA